ACAGTGGGGGCTTCTGCCAAGAAGCACCCTGCTCGCGTCCAGGGTGCCCTGGGTGTCTTGGGTATTGATGGTTCTGCTGAGGAGAGCGTGACGTTCCTACGCCAAACAACGATGGACGTCCTGGGGTCTCAGGGTTGGGTTTCCTGTGGAAGGTTTCTTGTGGTCGGGCCCCTATTGTAACTATAAACTTTTGGATCTCTGCGTTGATTTCTTGGATTGGCGCTGCACCCCCCCTCCCAGGCGCACGGAACACGCCACGCCAAGAGATCCGTGCCGAGCTCCACACGTTTATGTGCATGCAGTTGTTGTTTCTTTGTGTGTGCCTTCCCGCTCAAGGCATGAAGGGCGTGTACACCGATCCTGGGCCCAGGATCGGTAGGACATGGGTCATTACTGTAGGTTCGCGTCGTGTCCGCCCTTCCGTGGGCGTTCAAAGATGAGCGTTGCCAGTGTCCCAGAGTCGACCAAGAAGGAACGATCTGGCGATGGAAAAGCCACCGATCGCTCAAGTTTAACGATCCGCACGGTGTCAGAAACCAGCGCCGTGGTCGTGACGACACAAACGTGCCGTATAGAGAGAGAAAAGGAGAGAGAGCGGGGACAAGGACCGACAGCAGTGCCTACCAATGTTGAACACGAATCGCTGTCGGTGTCGCCACGGACGCTGTCAATTAAAAAACGCTTGTCCAACAGTGGCCGCTATCGGTTTGAGATAGCAGCTACTGTTGGGCATCGTATCCAATGTTTTCTGTACCCTTCTTGGACGTGCCAATTCATATGTCTTACATGCTCCCACTGGTGGTCTCCGAATGTCGGTCGCTTCCAGCTGCCTCCGCATCCTCCCGCTCACCTCATTAGATTAGATGTTGTGTTATGTGGATGGTCGCCAGTGTGGGCCCCAGAGTGTAAGTTCTTGCACTGTAGCTGTCTCAGCTATGAGTCTCAGCTATGCGCCGCAAGCTATGCTTGCCAGCTATGTGGTGCAAGCCATGTGGTCCAATCTGCGGGGTGCAGCATGTGGGGTGCAAGCTGTTCGGTGCAACACATGTGGTGGGGTCTATGTGGTGCAAGCTGTGTGGTCGAACCTAAGTGGTGTGAGCTATGTGGTGCAAGTTACGTGGTCTAACCCAAGAGGCGTGAGCTGTGTGATGTGAGCTGTGCGGTGCGGCGACGGACGGGAACGGAGCCGCACGGGCCGCAGACGGGCCGTCCTTGCTGGAAGCACGGGACAGCCAGGGACGGGGACGGAGCCCGCGGGCCCGCGGACGGGCTCGGTTCCTCCAAGGTGAGTACAACTCCCTAATTGCAAGCACTGTTTGGGAGTGTACATTCCTCTTCCTATATTTTTACAAGCCCGGGCGGGGGGAAAACCCGTCCCCCCCCCCAAAAAACCGGACTCCCGGGATCTGGAGCTTTGGGACCTTTCGGACGGGCCTCGAAGAAGCCCCCCGGGCCTCGCAGGGCGTTTTGCCAAGCCTTCGCAGCACACCTAGGGCGATCAGGGGGGTCATCGGAGACGTCCCAGAGAACCCCAAGACAGCACAAGAGCGCTCCAAGAAGCCGTCATACCCCGAAAGATCGCTCCAAAACGTACCAAGAGGCCTCCAAGAGCACCCCCAAGAAGGCCCCAAGAGGAAATAATCATAAATTTAACATAGTTTTTTGTGAATTTCGGGTTCTCCTCTTTTCGGCTTCCCGACGCTCCAAGACAGCGGTCTTCTGGGCGTCCGAAGTCGCCTTGGAGGCTCCAAAATCGCCCCGCAACCATCCGAAATGGCTTCCAGGCAGTCCAAGAGAGCCCCAGAACGGCACAAGACACTCTTCGAAGCATTCCAAATCGTGACCGGGGCGTTCAGGGAGATTGCGGTTAGAGGCAGGTTGGTTTTACAGCCCCAGAGGCCCCCAGAACACCCCCAGAGGCTCTCTGAGGAGGAGCCTCCGCAAAAAGAGCTGAGGAGGATGGGGAGAATGCCCAGGGTATGGCGAGAATGAAGAAGAATAAGCATGAAGGAGGGATACCAATCTTCAAGGACCAAGGTGCATGGCGCGAAGCGCCACTGCAGTCTCGTATGTGTATATATATATACACATATGTATAGATGTATATATGTATATATGTATATATGTATATATATATTTATATATATATATATGGGTTTACGCGAGTGCTTCCACTTGTTTCTACACGCGCTGCTGGTTGCTTCCGCCTGATCGCACATGCGTTCAAGCGTTGATTGCTCCATCGGATGGCACTCACAGGCTTGCCTCCTTCTGCTTCCTCTTGCCTCCACTGTGCGGGGTCCGCCCGCCCGGATCATCGCACTCCCGGTGACCCAGCGCAGCATCCGAGGGTTCGGAAGGTGCTCGGGGCCGTGGCTCGCCGTGACGAGCGTCCCCTGCGGCAGAACAGCGATTGCGTCACTCGCTTCGTCCCGATGCTCCTCCGCCTCCAGAGCCTGCTGTCGAGGGAGGAAGATCGCCATAAACAACAACTTTTGGCGCTCCGCGCGGATTTCTTGGATCCGCTCTGGGGCCCCCCTGGCGGCGCCGCCGGCGCCGCCACTTGCGCGCTCCGCGCGCCAGGGAGGGGGGTCCAGCGCAGATCCAAGCAATCCGATTGGGGCGCCAAGAGTTTATGTTTATGGCGTCTTCTCTCCTCCAAGATTCTCCCCCGCCTCCGGGGCATGTCGGGGCCCTGCGGTCGAATCTGACAGTAAGGACGATCGACTTCCCAGGGGTGCCCTTGCATCCTTGCCTCTCGGGTCATCTTCGGTCCCCTCTCAGCTGCTTTCGATGGCTGGCCCCGCTCGAAAAGCTTCGGCATGGGCGTCCAAGGCCCTTGCATGCTTGGGGCGCATCCTTACTTCACCGAGCGTGTTCCACCACTCGCAAAGTGCCTACTCGCAAACGTCAGAAAGGCCACATGTCTGCATCTATGGCGGAGTCAGGCCATTTGCGAGTAGTTACTTTGCGAGTAGTGGAACTCTCTTGTCTACTACTAGCAGTTTTGACTCCCTGCGGGGCTCTCAAGGGGCCCTCTTGGGCTGTCCTCGGGGGCCGACGGCGGCACTGTCGCTGCGGATGGTCCACCAGCTGTTTGAGCGCGGTTCACGGTGGGCCCTTGCACCGGCCTTGCAGCGTTGACGTCCGTGCCCTGAAACGGAGGCCAGCGATGACTCAGCTGACGCCGAGTTTGGGGGGGAAGCAGGGCTCATTTCGATTCTTCCGATTCGATTCGACCCGGTTTCGATGGATTCCGATTCGATTCGATTTCGGATTCCGATTTGGGATCCGATTTCCCAATGGAGGCCTAGTAGCCAGTCGATGTTTGCCGATTCGATTTTTCTTGACTCGGCTGCCCATTCCCGTCGATCCGGTTCATGCCGATCGTCGATCCGAATTGTCGCTTCGATCCTTCGCTTCTCATGGGGAAGTGAGGAGGACGATGTCTCAGAAGGCGGCGGGGCTTCCTCGAAGGCCTCGCGCCTCTTGAGAAGTGTTCTGTGTCTTCGGGGAAGGCTCATGATGACGAGCAGGAGGAGGAGGAGGAGGAGGAGGAGGAGGAGGAGGAGGAGGAGGAGGGAGGGAGGAGGAGGAGGAGGGAGGAGAGGGAGGAGGAGGAGGAGGGAGGAGGAGGGAGGGAGGAGGAGGAGGAGGAGGAGGAGAGGAGGAGGAGGAGGAGGAGAGGGAGGAGGAGAAGGTCCGAGGCCGGCTCGCCGCCGATGCTTTCGCCGTGGCTGCTGCCCCCCCCTCCCCCCGTGTGCCTTTTGGATGGCCGAGCTCAGGATTCTTCCATTGAGTCCCCCTCCCCCTCCCTCCCATCCCTCCCATCCCTCCCCCTCCACAATTACTCAATATGAATACACTCTCCCTCTTCCCCTGATGGCGTCCGGGTGATGGCCGCGCACCCTCCGCGTATTGTTTTTTTACACACAGGATGCCCGGGAAATCCCCGGAAACGACTCTCGCTGAGGCGCCGGCGTCATTTTTTCTCAAAATGCTGCTCTCGCGCCGGCGTCATTTTTTCCCAAAATGCTGCTCTCGTTGAGGCGCCGGCCTCATTTCTGCTCCCGAATCCTTCCCCTGATGGCGTCCGGGTGATGGCCGCGCACCCTCCGCGTATTGTTTTTTTACACACAGGATGCCCGGGAAATCCCGGGAAACGACTCTCGCTGAGGCGCCGGCGTCATTTTTTCCCAAAATGCTGCTCTCGTTGAGGCGCCGGCCTCATTTCTGCTCCCGAATCGTTCCGAATCGTGCTCCCGCTGCAGCGTGGGCCTCATTTTCGGATCGGTGCTTGGCCTCCGTCGTTCAGGATGGCGTTCTCGCCCCAGCGCGGGCCTTTTTCTCGCGCGCCCATCCGCCCGCCACCACCGCGCCGCACCGCCGCCACCACCACCACCACCACCAACACCACCAACACCACCACAACCACCACCAGCACCAGCACCAGTACCAACACCACCACCAGCACCACCACCACCACCACCACCACCACCACCACCACCAGCATCACCACCACCACCACCACCACAACCACCACCAGCACCAGCACCAGTACCAACACCACCACCACCACCACCACCACCAGCACCACCACCACCACCACCACCACCACCACCACCACCACCACCACCACCACCACCACCACCACCACCACCACCACCACCACCACGACAACCACGCACACACGCACGCACGCACGCACGTGCACCACCACCCACTACGCACGCGCGCGCGGAGCCACAGGTCCGCTACGACACGCGTCCGCGGATAGAGAAAATCAGCGCCATGGTAAGGGATGGGAGGGAGGGGTAGGACGTCAGATATGACGCGAGCGCACCTAGCTTGCCCCTCCCCCTCCCCCTTCCCCCCCCCTCCTCCCCCCTCCCTCCCCCCTCCCCCCCTCCCCATCCCCCTCGCTCCCCCTCCCCCCCCTCCCTCCCCTCCCTATCCCCCTCCCCCCTCCCCTCCCCTCATCCCCCACGCCATGCCGCCAGGGCATGTGGTGGAGGCCGCGCTGCAGGCCGACGCCCCCGCCGAGATGATGCCCAGTGGGCCCGAGGGCGCACGCGCCGAGGGCGTGGTGCAGGACGGGCGCGGGGGGCGCCAGGGAAGGGGGGGGGGGGGCGGCGGTCTCGGGAGGCCGTCTGTCTCCTGCCGCCTCCTCCCTCCGCGTGCTTCCTTCTCCCTCCGCCCTCTCCTCCTCTCCTCCTCCCCCTGCTTCCTCCTCCTTCCTGCTTTCTTCCTCCTCTTCCTCCTCCTCCTCCCCCTCCTCTTGCTTCCTCCTCCTTCCTTCTCTCCTCCCTCCTCCTCCTCCTCCTCCTCCTCCTCTTCCTCCTCCTCCTCCTCCTCGCGTCCTCCTCCTTTCTACTTCCTTCCTCCTCCCTCCCTCCTTCCTGCCTCCTCTTGCTTCCTCCTCCTTTCTGCTTCCTTCCCTCTCGGCCACGGTCTCGTCCTCGCCAGGGTATGACGATCTACGTCTCGCGCCCCCCCCCCAGCGTCCGTCGGCACGCCCAGGCGTCAGGCGCACTGCTGCGGTCCGCGTCGAACCCTGATCTCCTCCCTCCCCCATTCATCCTGCTGCGGCGCGCTGCGGGCGCCTGCCCACACCCGCCCCGAGCGAGGGGCAGTATCGTTCAGCCGACCCCCATCCCCATCCTCATCCCCGTCGAGACCCCCACCAAATTACCACCCCAGTTGGTGATGCACCCCTCGAAACCTGGAGGGAACGGCCTAGATCTCCATCTAGGGGGGTAAATCGGCCAGTGAGGCCCAGTCCACGCCGCTGGGGATGGGGATCGGTTAAACGATGCTCAGCGGGGCAGCTGTTTCGTGGTCGCCGCTGTTGATCGCGTCGCCGCGGGTGTCTCGTCGCTCGTCTGTCGCCGTTGTTGCCGCAGTCGGCGTCGCCGCCGTCGACGCCGTCGTGCCGTGTCGTTGCCGCCGTCGCCGGCTCGCCCGCCGCCGTCGCCGCGTCCTTGGTGGCTGCTCTCCCGCGAGGGGCTTGTGCGCCTGCAGGCCGAAGAGCGTAGAGACGCGCATGCTCTCGTCCAGACCTCCACCACGACATGGTGCGGCGCCCAGCGCTGGTCTGGCCCGACCTAAGGGTAAACCCCTCCCCGAAGGGGAACAGGGACGGGTGGAAGAGGAAACGCCCCAAACCACCTACGCCCAGAGGGTCGGTGGGAGTGTTGGAGTTCCGCGCTGATTTTCTTGGATCGGCGCTGGACTTCCCTTCCTGGGGCGCAGAGCGCGCCAGGAGGCGGCGCGAGAGGCGCCGCCAAATGTCCCCCGCGCCGACCCAGGAACCCCGCGCGGAGTTCCGACAGTTGGTGTTCATGGTTTGTCTTATTCCTCAAGGGAGCACCCAGACTGAACCGCCGATGCGGCTCGATGTGGAGCCCGATTTTCTCCACGCCGACGTCGGCGATGCTTCGCCGACGGCGCCGAAGCATCACGACGCATCGCCAGTATATCGGCGATGCGGCGCGATCCTTCGACCCCATCTACTCGGACCCCATTCGGGCGACGCGGAAAAACGTGCCCGTCTGCGACGACATTTGCACGTAAGCTGCCCGCGTAAGGTCGCGCGTAAGCGCTCACGTCTCCAATGTGGCATGCCGCACTGGCGGCCCGCGTAAGCCACCGCTCAAGGTCGCTGTGTCATCCCGGGAAGGGCTCGTTTTTCTCGTCGTTCGTTGTGGGACGCGTGTATGAACAGAGGCAACTCGTCAGAGTTCGATGCTGCGTTCTTCCAGTGCACTCGGCTGCACGAGCCGGTGACAGATAAGGCTAAGCTCGGGCAGCATTCGCTTACACCGCTCAGTAGCCTCGCTTGGGAAGCGGGCTCGAGCTTGAGCCAAAACGGCTCTATGAACAGACGCAACTCGTCGAAGCCTTGGGCAGCTGTGGTCGTCGTCGTCGTCGTCGTGGTCGGCGTCGTGGTCGTGGTCGTGGTCGTGGCAAGTCGTCGGCAGCTGGACGCCGCGGTCGACCGCTGCAGGCGCCGCAGGGGCGCACCTCCACGACTTCTGAGGGGGCGGGAGGGGGAGAGCGAAGTGAACCCCACCCTCCCCCTCAAAACTCGTGGGGGGTTAGGGGTAGGGTTCGCATGTGGCCCCCTACCGCTGCAGGCGCCGCAGGGCCCCCCCCCCCCACGCCAGTTGCGAGGCCGCCTCGAGGCTCGAGCCCGCGGGCCTGGCCGCACGCCGCGAGCGGCCCCGGCGGAGGCCGCCCGGCCATGCCCGCCCGCGAGCTGCTCGGCGCGGAGGGAGCGGACTCGGCACGAGGCAAACGGGTCTCCAGGGCAACGGGCCCCAGCTCTGAGATCCTCCCCCTCCCCTTCCTCTCTCCTCTCCCCCTCCTCCTCCTCCTCCTCCTCCTCCTCCTCGCCCTCTTCTTCTTCTTCTTCTCCTCCTCCTCCTCCTCCTGTTCCTCCTCTCCCTCCTCGTACTCCTCCTTCTCCCCAAACTCCCCGTCCGTCCTCCTCCTCCTCATCATCATCATCATCAGCAGCAGCAGCAGCATCCTCCGCCTCCTCTTCCGCCAACTCTTTCTCCCCCTCCCCCTCCTAACCCTCCTCCTCCTCCTCCCTTCCCGGCTTTGCAGTTTTCCCCAACCATCTTGTGGTGTTGGGTCCTCGTTTTGAAGAGACAGCGAACTCGGCACGAGGCAAACGGGTCTCCAGGGCAACGGGCCCCGATTCTGAGATCCTCCCCCTCCCTTTCCTCTCCTCCTCCTCCTCCTGTTCCTCCTCCTCTGCCTCCTCCTCCTCCTCCTCCTCCTCCGTCTCCTCCTCCTCCTCACCCTCCTCCTCTTCCTCCTCATCCTCCTCCAACTCCCCCTCCTGCTTCTCCTCCTCCTCCTCCTCCTCCTCCTCTTCCGCCAACTCTGTCTCCCCTTCCCCCTCCTACCCCACCTCCCTCCTACCCCTCCTTCTTGCCCGGCGTTGCATTTGTTCCCAAACACATTGTGGTGCTGGGTCCTCGTTTTGAAGAGAGCGCGGGCTCGGCACGAGGCAAACGGGTCACAAGGGCAACGGGCCCCCCTCGGTAGCAAGTCATGAAAGCCTGGTATGCCCATTACATTCCGTCTTTCGCGTCGGCTAGCGTCGATTAGCGTCTGGGAGTCGATGAGGTAGCGCCGAGTTAGTGTCGTGGAGCGTCGATCTAGTGTCGACTGGCGTCGATTCGCAGGAGCCGACAGGACGGTATGGGAGGCTCCCTTGAGCTGCCACCGAAGAGTCTCGAGGGCAACGGGCCTCCTGGCCCTGAGATCCGGGCGTTGCAATTTGCCTCAACCATCTAACCGCAGAGGGTCTTTAATGATAACCCCCCTAAGCTCTCGGCGGGGAATAGAAACTCGTCCCTCTTCCTCCTCCTCCTTCCCCTCCCTCCTCCTTCCCCGCGGTGCATGTTCCAGTGCGCGCAGCAGCGGTGGCGGTGGTGTGTCGGAGAGGAGGAAGAGGAGGAGGAGGAGAAGGAGGAGGAGGCCGCCAGGCGTTGAGCGATGGGATTTTTAAGCACTTCTCTTAACCTCTCATGCATCCGCCGATGATAATAATTATTTTCCAACTTGTCGGGGTCCCAATCCGTCAATAAGCCGGCGGAACAATTTTGCATTTTCCCATTATTGCCCGGGGGCATATTAAAGACCTTTTGGGGTTAATGGTGTTGGGTCCTCGTCTTGAAGAGACAGCGCCCCGCGTTCCTTCTCCTTCCTCTCCTCATCCTCCCCCTTCTCCCACCCTTGCCTCTGCCCTCCGCAAGTCCACAATTTCAGCTTAACTCATTACGGCGCGTCGTGGCCCAATAGGGAGCTCCACCGAAGGACCCCGTGGCTGTGACCACATGCGTTCCGCGCCACCCAGTACAGCGCTTCGTCGCCCCATAGGGAGCTCCACCGAAGGTCCCAGTGGCTGTGAACACCTGCGTCCCGCGCCACCCAGCACGGCGCTTCCTGGCCCGATTGTAGGGAGCTCCACCGAAGGCCCCATTGGCTGTGACCACAAGCGTCCCGCGCCACCCAGTACGGCGCTTTGTGGCCCTATGGGGAGTTCCACCAAAGGCCCCAGTGGTTGTGACCACGTGCGTCCCACTGTAGTGGCCCCAGGGGGAGCTTCACCGAAGGCCCAAGTGGCGACGTTTTCAAGGCGGCCCCGCTCCATTTCGTCACACCCCTCACACGCTTCGTGGCCCCATGTGGATCGCCGGCGAAGGCCTCAATGGCTGCGCCCGCATGCGTTCCCGCCATATTTCGGCACACCCCTTACACGCTTCGTGGCCCCATAAGGGTATCCACCGAAGGCGATACTCACAACGGCGACACTCACAACTGAAATGTTTGGGCCCTTCACCAGGATAGTTTTCCGCACCGTTTCTTGCCGTGTACGGCCCCAGGACCATCTCTGGACCTCCCAGATGGTCGCGCAGCATCGCCGATGCATCGGCGATGCAGCTCGATGTGGAGCTCCCTTCTCTCCATGCCCATGTCGCCGATGAGTCGCCGACGTCCCCGATACATCGGCGATGCTGCGGCATCCCCGACCCTGTGTACCATCCAGAAGGCCTCTACCGTCGCAGATCGATCCGGCTCGAAGCATGCCGCAGAAAGATCAGGTCTCGGATTCTCTGAGACTCTCAGGGGAGTCAGAGGAGGAGACTGCACCGATATCGCTGCCGTTCCCTCGTCTTCACCTTTTCTGGGCCTCTGGAGGGGCTCTCGTCGCCATCGTTGGCTTCGCTTTGGAATTGTGGCCAAAGATCACCCCGGGAGAGGTCCTGGGAGCAGCGGCACAGTCGACCTGCATGGTAAGGATGGGCACCCTTCCCAAGGGTATCCCTGCGTCCTTGCTTCTCGGACCGTCCTTGGCGACTTTCGTCGGCCGCGCCCCACCCGCAAATGGTCGACATGGCCTTCCGAGGCCCCTGCATCCTTATCGCGCATCCTTATTGTGCGGGGCGATTGCATTCAGAGAGCCAGAGGCTTCGGAGAGACCCCGCCGCCATCTGGGAAGGCTTGCCCTTTCTCACCCTTCTCATTTCGGGTGTTGCTAGAAGTACCCCTGGCCCAAGGTACCCCTAGGATTCTCGGGG